AGCAACAAGAACCCCAGGACGTCGGAAGAGGCGATGGAACCGAATAACACGAAGGGAGACGAAGACGAGAAGTGTAGAGAGAAATAGAGAGAAGTAGAAATGACTGGAGGAGGAAGAGATGCCGGGTGAGGGGATGAGGAGCAGGATTTGTTCCGTGTACAAGAACAAAGGGAATATTAAGTGTGGAATGATGTAACAGCCACTGAAGGGCATAGGAGGGATTGCGTAAGGAAGGGTGAAGGGAACTGAGCCGATATGAAGTACTCTGTTTGGGTTTATGAAAGGGATGAGGGCAAAGGACGAGCAATGAAGGACGGGCTGTGGCTTTGTCGACCTGCAGAAGAGTTATTTTTGGTATTTCAGGCGAAAAGAGTATATGTATATATATATATATATATATATATATATATATATATATATATATATATATATATATGTATGTGTGTGTGTGTGTGTGTGTGTGTGTGTCGTGTGTGTGTGTGTGTGTGTGTGTGTGTGGTGTGTGTGTGTGTGTGTGTGTGTGTGTGTGTGTGTGTGTACGTGTGTGTGTGTGTGTGTGTGTGTGTATGTGTGTGTGTGTGTGTGTGTGTGTGCGCGTGTGTGTGTGTGTGTGCGTGTGTGCGTGTGTGTGTGTGTGCGTGTGTATATGTGTGTATGTATGTGTGTGTGTGTGTGTATGTATGTGTGTGTGTGTGTATGTGTGTGTGTGTGTGTGTGTGTGTGTGTGTGTGTGTGTGTGTATGTGTGTGTGTGGTGTAGTGTTGTGTGGTGTGTTTGTGTGTATTGTGTGTATGTATGTGTAGTGTGTGTGTGTGTGGTATGTGTGTATGTGTGTGTTGTGTGTGTTGTGTGTAAATGCCCGCGAGCTTATTCTATGGATAAAAGCGAAATGAAAAGGATTAAACTCGGTGACGCAACAGGCTCTAGCGTAAAAGATTTCTGACATGATATCAGCTGGTCGGAACACGTGCACTTTCTCATCTTATCTTGCCACACTTATTTCGACTCTTTGTTTTCATTATCTTTATCAAAGTCATGGGAGAAGGAGATTAAATTCATACACGCGATGAGAGAAGACGTAACGAATGGAGGAAAAAATAGAGGAGAAGAGAGGAGATTCGAGTGGTGTTGCCGAGAGAGAGAGAGAAAAAAAATATATATGGCGTTTAGAGAAAGGAAGACTAACAGCGGTGATGGGGCGGGAGAGCGAGACAAACAAGAAAGAAGTGGTAGGAGGAGAGGAAATAGCGACTAAGGCTTCGTAGATTCGTAAGAAGGAGGAGAAAAGAGGATATTCGCAATCGCACAGGAGAGTCGGGAAAAGAGACAAGGCCTGGAGACGGATAAGTGTCACAGAACTTAAAACAGAATTTGAAAGAAAGAAAGAAAGAACAAAAGGCTCACTTCTAAATGTGGGAAATGCTAAACAGAAGCTGGAATGGAATTTGAAAGGGGGAAAAATTGCTAACTACTAAGTATGACAAAAGTTAAACAGTAGCTGAAACAGAATCTAAAAAAAAAAAAAAAAATCCTAATTACTAAACATGAGAAATACTAAACAGGAATTAAACCAGAATCTGAAAAAAAACGATTTTGCTAATTACTAAACACGAGAAATACTAAACAGAAGCAGGAAGAGACGATTGGTAAGAACCCCGAAGAAGGTAAACAGCAACAAGAACCCCAGGACGTCGGAAGAGGCGATGGAACCGAATAACACGAAGGGAGACGAAGACGAGAAGAGTAGAGAGAAGTAGAGAGAAGTAGAAATGACTGGAGGAGGAAGAGATGCCGGGTGAGGGGATGAGGAGCAGGATTTGTTCCGTGTACAAGAACAAAGGGAATATTAAGTGTGGAATGATGTAACAGCCACTGAAGGGCATAGGAGGGATTGCGTAAGGAAGGGTGAAGGGAACTGAGCCGATATGAAGTACTCTGTTTGGGTTTATGAAAGGGATGAGGGCAAAGGACGAGCAATGAAGGACGGGCTGTGGCTTTGTCGACCTGCAGAAGAGTTATTTTTGGTATTTCAGGCGAAAAGAGTATATATATATATATATATATATATATATATATATATATATATATATATATGTGTGTGTGTGTGTGTGTGTGTGTGTGTGCGTGTGTGTGTGTGTGTGTACACACACACCAACTGAGTCTTGCGTTCTGACATAGATAAAGTTATGTAGCTGATAACATGGTCAAACTGTATCATCATTATTGCCGAAGTGATAAGGTTCGCCAGGCCTAGGACTTTTAACGATATAATGACACTGTCATCACTGCTATCGTCACTGCCCTTGTTGTAACGATTAACTACCATTACTGTTACCATTACTGCGAATACCAGCTATAACTATTACCATTTCTAACAATACCAGCGATATCCTGGAGCCATGCCATGACCTTAAACAACACAGATTTAATTCCAACCATCATGCTTCAATTACCATGAAAATACCAAGATCATAATTATCATCATAATCATTACTGTGCCATGTTCAGCAACACCGAATATTAACAATTACAGCTTCTATGGCAACTTGTCCTGGTTCCTGTGGGTTTTGTGATGGTAGACAAGAGTATTTGGTTACGCTTTAGGATACCACACATATACATAGGAGGGAGACACAGGGTAGCGAGAAATACGGTATATATCACAGTATTCTTATCATCACGCGCTTATTAAATATCAGTCATTCAGAACAGACGCCAACGACTATATAGCAGCTTAGAAACGGTATAGCAATCAGCTGACATGTAAACAGCCAGAGATGGATTCTTTATCTTCGCGTTCGCTAAACACACAGTTTCTGCTGGCACCCTCAGTCCATACCGCTGCAATCAGGAGGTAATTTCTACGGTGTATAATCAAGAAATATTTGTTTAGATTTCTAATTGTGATCGTAATATTAGAGTCTTTATTTTTTCATTGAATCAATAGTTTCCTGTGGCCAAAAAAGAAGAAACAGAACGATATCAAAACGGCTTCAAAGGGCCCTTACGTATGTATCTTTCAGGAGGGTGGGGGGGGGGGGTCGCTGTACATGCCATGAGGTATATATTAGGCGAGGGAAAATGTGGAAGAAGGTGCTTTTGACTGATGCTACTAAATCCATAGTATACCAACAGAGCTGGTCGTTAGTGCTGTCAAAATAGGAACAGAGAAGTCAGGATTAAGTCATTAACAAAGACGATCAGGAGGCCATATAATTTTCCTAAGAGAAAGTCACGCATGTTTGAAATCGATCGAATATAAACCGATGATCAGACAAACAGCGAGAGATCGGCCTTCCAGACGGCAAACTCACCTACTGAGGCGAGTCGACCTCAAGGACTCGAGGAAGCTGGACACGCGGACAGAGAGTCGTCTTTGGCATTCGAGTCTTCGAACACGTGACTTCAAATCATCGGAATCTTAACATTAGCATTTCGTAATAGAACTGAGGATAAAGTATAATACGTATCCAGTAAGAATCCGAAAACAGATCAAGGATTTTTCACGCCACTGGAGGAACTGGAGGATCTTAAGGGTATTGCTAGTTCAAAGAGACTACAAACTAGTCGCCGACAGTGTGCAAGGATGAAGTAATGTGTTTGTTTGAGTAATGACTGGAGGAGGAGTTCTAGCTCTAAAGGTGAGGATTGAGGGCCATATTGATTAAAAAGAGAGGAGTAGCATCAAACAAGCTTATTACATATGTAATGATGACATCCTAGCTTCCTTTGATCAAGCTGCATTCTGCGATTATGCTAATTTGAACCGTTTTGGCTTCTAATGCAAAAATAATGGCACACTTAACTAAAAGAAAAACGCAAAATCCATAATAATTACAATAATGAAGCTTATGCATTTATTACCAGAATATTTCAATATCGTTAGGCCATAATTCAGATAAATGACAGGGAGGAGTGAGGAGGACGGGGCTGCAGTGGTGCCACGCCTGTGGGAATAATAATTGTGTCAGAAATCAATCTAAAGACAACCTCACATAACCATACGAGCACACACATACAAACACACACACTCACACCAAAGCTGCTCAGTGAAACAGCTCTTTGTGAAATCTTGAACTCCCCTGAAAAAATAACAAACTGTCAACAGACAAAGCGAAAATTCTTGGTCTCCTTCTGTTCTCCTGTTTCTTTGTTCTCGTTAACAACACAAAGCAGAGGAACGAACTACAAGACAGGCATGTTATTCTTTCCTTGATATAAATACGTGATGAAGAATCGGAATGGCTGTGCTCACACCCCCGTGGCGTTCTTCGAATACTCATCAAATAATGATGATTGCCGAAGGTAACAATGCCAATAGTTTTTTTTTTCTGTCTGCCCCTTTTACGTATTGACTGAGGATAAGCTTGTCGGGCACCATTAGCGACAGGAGCGAGAGGCGCCGTGGTCCCCTTCTTACGCTATCGATTGAATTCCGTATCAATGGCGTTATTCGTTGTTGCTGTCCCATTGTGATTTCCTGCTGATCTATGATTGGTGGAGCGGCGCTGAAGAAAGAAAAATGTTCAGAGAAGGATCAGAAGGGAGACCCTGGCGGTGACATGGCGGTAGTGTTGTATGACCAGCGTTGGGCTCACACACGCCTGGCTGCAGCAGAGGTCTCGTCTACGTACGACTCGTTATAAAGATCGTCCACGTTAAAATAGGTCGTCGTCCAGCAGCAGAAGTGGTCTAGTCTGCGTACGACTTGTTAAGAAGGTCGTCCACCCTAAAAACGGCTGCAGAAGTGGTCTTGTCTGCGTAAGACCTATTACCAAGACGGCCTTACGATCAGCTGGAGTAGTGGATGAGTACGCTCCTGGCCTATCATTAAGCTCTTCTGCCTCTCATGGTCTTCAGTTCACCTACGACTTATTTCACTACAGACCAGATATTGGAATAGATATAGTGCTGAAAGAAAGCTTATCAGGGTTATCAAGTTTATCACATGCCACATCCAGATAACTAAGCAAAGGCAAGGAGATAGACAAATGGACAAAATGTTGCAAAGGCTGATCATGTTGATGGTGATGTTGCAAACGACAGCATGGCTCATCAGGTGTCATGGCTCCCTCCTCGACGACGGTGCCACGGATTTCGTCAGCTGGTACATCCAGTGCCAGAAATTTCGACATGTGCACATCCTGGAAAGATACTGCGGCAAGTAGAACGTTAGGAGGGAAAGAGAGAGAGAGAGAGAGAGAGAGAGAGAGAGAGAGAGAGAGAGAGAGAGGGGGGGGGGGTGACAGAGAGAGAGATAGAGAGAGTGTGTGTTGGGGAAAGAGGGAGAAAGACAGATAGACGGATGGACAGAGAGAGAGAGAGGAGAGAGAGAGAGAGAGAGAGAGAGAGAGAGAGAGAGAGAGAGAGAGAGAGAGAGAGAGAGAGAGAGAGAGAGGGGGGGGGGGGGGGGGGCGGGGGAAGAGGGAGACAGACAGACAGATAGACAGAGAGAGAAGAGAGAGAGGGACGGTGGGGAGGAGAGAGAGAAAGACCGACAGATAGATAGATAGATAGATAGAGAGAGAGAGAGAGAGAGAGAGAGAGAATAGAGAGAGAGGTAAGCAGACAGACAGACAAAGAGAGAATAGGGGAGAGAGAAAATGAGAAGTAGAAATAAAGAAATTGAGTGAGATGTAAAAAGACAAACAGACCAACAGAGACAGAGCGACGGAGAGACACGCAGACAGATGCTCAGACCGAGAAGGAGGGATGAGAGAGATGAAACCTAACATTTATATAGCTTTTTTTTTACATTTATCTATCTATGTATCCCCTCCTTTCTCCTCTCCCCCTCTCTCTCTCTCTTACACACACACACATTCTTCCTCTCCTGCCTATTCAGCATCCTTTATCTTCTGTTATTTCTACATACTTCTACTTAGTATTTCTCCGCAGTTTATTTCTCATCGAAGTGACTTACTGAACTCAACATTCATTCCCTAATTTCACAGAACAGTAACTTCTGCCGAAGAGTAAACTTAGGTACCATTTTCTTTGCCCACAAAGAAAACGGGGAGTGATAGTGGGTTAGCAATTCTAAAGATATATATTTATTGGTAAAAATCAGTTGTCAGTCAGTAATTGCATTATGTAACGGCTGCATTCTCTCGTAATAAGCAGTTTATAAATCTTATTAATGTTCTGTTTTCCCCTCCCCCTTTTTATATACATATACCTACATATATACATACATATATTCATGCATACCTACCTACATAAATACATACATATATACATACATACATATATATATACATACATACATACATACATACATACTTACATTCATACATACATAATACATACATACATACATATATATATATACATATATACAGAAAAAATACATGCATATATAAATACATGTATACGTACATAAATACTTATATACAAATATGCATACATACGTACGTACATACATAAATACTTATATACAAACATGCATACATAAAAAAACATGCGTATAGACGTACATACATATGTAGATATGGATTCTGTATACAAACATACACGTGTGTATACATGTCTCTATATTATATTATATTATATTATATATCTATATCTATATCTATATCTATATCTATATCTATTTATCTATCTATCTATCTATCTATCTATCTATCTATCTATCTATCTATCTATCTATCTATATATATATATATATATATATATATATATATATATATATATATATATATATATATACGTATATATATATGTGTGTGTCTGTGTGTGTGTATCATACATAAATATAT